CAGCACCTTGTAATAGTTTGATTATTGTTTTCGAAAAGATACCGTATAACAATTAACTTAGTTTTTTGGTGATGCGGTTCAATCAATACGGTGACTTAGTTTTTTGGTGATGCGGTTCAATCAATACGGTGACTTCAATTACCAATTCTTGAATAATAACTTTCGGTCGTTTCACTATTCCAGAGATCTATTTATTATAGAACCTACACTTACCCTTTATGAACAATCAAACAGCCAACTACCAACGCACCGATATATATTTCGTCTGAGGCTGTGAGACGTTGAAACTACATGGCGAATATGCCCGGGTCTCTTGAAAGCAGAAACAAAGCCTGAAATTCACTGAATTCACTGCGAATAGCTGTTTGAACTGGTCGCTTCATCAGCGTAGCTATCACAATTACCCCTAGGAATGTGTGTTATTTGCATTCCTTCGTGCGCCTTCTGCTATCACCATACAGCATTTCGTCACGAACGGGGCCCATTTCTTTGCTTTCCGTCACAACTTTGACTGTATTTATGTAAATTTTACGCTTTATCGCCTTATCGTGTCTGTCTTTTCTAAAACTCTCGATATATTCAATTGTCACCTCACACTCTTCAGATAATACTTTTGTAGCAAACGTTTCAATCTTCAGTAGTCTCATTAAATACAGATACGGAAAAGCATTCTCATTGTTTGGAAGTTTTTTACATGAAGATGTGCAAGCACTGCAGGAAAATCCTCAAAATGTCTGTACGCATATAGCAATTAATGTCGGGTTCAAACCACCGGATATCATTCACTCAGAAAGAGTGTCTCATGAAATTCAGTCCACAAAACCCCGTAATCCAAATGGAAAAGAGAGTTCGAGGATTGATGAATTCAGCCTTGAAGTGATTCTACCCCGTACTTCAGACCAACATCGCCCTTGAGAAATTTAAGCGCGCTAAGTCAGTTATAGAATAGAAATGAGTCTCAAACTTTCTGCGATATTCCAGACTATTGCATTCGTTTGTGATATTTGGGTCTCTAATAAAGCGAATGTATCTTTCAATCCATCAATCAATCAAAGCTCTACACTTTTCTCAATAGCCTTCCCTACCGAATAATTATTTACCTAAGAATGTTGAAGACCCTTCTTCCAATACAGGCATTTATTGGGTTCTCCTGCACAGAACCCGATAAATACTGGATTATTGTACATCAGTACAATAATCCTGTAAGACAGTACAAGACAGTTGGAAAAATCTGGGGTTACTGAACACGTACAAAAAGGCCAAGAGACATAACTCGAGCGAACTGACGTGCTCCACACCACTTTCCAGTTGAATACGCTTCTGAACCAGGAAGAAATGAAGATTCATAAATATCAAAACATATTTAAAATAGAAGAAGAAACCACGAAGATCTTTAAAACATAGTATTTAGTTCTCCGCCGATGTCCTATCATAATCTACGCCGTCGAGCTCATCAGTAGAGTTTCTCCACGACTCATAAAACCTCACTAATGTTTTTTAACGAGGAGGTCGCAACGCATTGCTGCCAACCCAAATTTGATGACAAACGTCCAATGTCTTCATTGTCACGGCTACCTTACCCGAATAACCTAAGTTCCCATCAATAGTTTTCTCTTTGATATTTTTATCATCAACTCCAGGTGCCCAGGGCACACAATTTCGCTAGTCATGTCGAATAATTTGTTGGAGGCCACTATCAATATTTTTTTACACAACCACCCTTCTAGATTAGGCCTGAAAAGCATCCCAGTAACTGTTAATGTTTAATGACGTTCAGGGTAGACGTTATTTGGAATATAACTTATATATATGTGGAACTCCACCCCCAGCGTACTACCAGGTTGCTAGATTCTATCCAGAAAATTGGAGACCCAAATATAAAAATCAATCTGATTGTCTGTAAAATTGACACCTGAATCATCGTAGCCGGAAGAAGAAAAATTGGGAAATATTTTTTATAGACACTCTTAAGTGAAGTGTGCGACTGATTCAATCCTCTTGATTTCACCGGAAGATGTATGTAAATCAGAAATACGCGGCAAACTGCAGCATACCATTGCTTCGAGGTTCAAAAATATACCCTGAACTAAACGTTTCATAACCTCTTCCATAACGAAATTTTAGGAGATTAACTAATAACTTTCTTGAAGTTACTTGAATTCGTCATACACAGTTCATTGAATAACTGTAGAACTAACTCACTTTCTCACGAATTCGATTCTCCAGACCAGTAATTTCTAATTTCATTTGGTAGCTATTTATTTAGGGTTTCGAAAACTAAGGTAGTTTATTCGGCTCCTCCTCTTTATTTCTCAGATGACCTTGACGTTAGTTTTGAAAATCTATATCATGTGTACTATTATAAATGAGGAAGTTTGTGAGAACGGATGTATGTATGTATGTTTGTGGCTCTCTCACGCCTAAACGACTGAACAGATTTCAATAAAACTTTACATGAACATAGCTTATACATGAGAATAACATATAGTCTAGAATTCATAGAATTTTTGTGTTATTTTCGTCATATTATAACGATAAGTATTAAGTAAGTCGGAAAAATTCTTGCTCCCTGAGAGCTATCTTGGCGCGCGCTGCTTATACCATTGAAGTTACATGCAGGTAAGAGTATTTATTTTGAATAGTTCTAAATAAAAGTTCGCGGTAGCATATATCTTCATCTAATGTGGAAGCCATTATATGCACAATACTGAGCCATAAGTACAACTAAATTGGATACTTTTTTTACAATGCACATTTTAGAATATCTGTCGATTTCTAATAAAAATTGATACATTTGTTGTTTTAAGTATTTAATATAGACAAACTTTGTCTTCGGACGAATCGTTTGAGTTATCACGATAAAATTAACTTGACGCAACGCAGTGAGCGTCTACTGTAAGATGACGAGGAACAATGCGCGGGATGTCTAAGCAGTGAAGCGCCATCGCCAAGAACGCGACCCGAATGCGGGCAGACGCGTGAGGACAGACGTCATTGACGCTGGTGTTAGTTTTGCGAATTCCTTTATTGATAACATAATTCGATTCTCAAAGCCATTTATTACTTAGTGCAGTTGCCATATCTTTTCAGTTGCTGTATTTTTAAAGTAAAAATATAAATGACTAGCTGTTGCCCACTCTTATATTAACGTATAGACGAAGCTACTGAACCTAGAATCTTGAAATATGCAGGTAGGATCTTTCTATAGCATAAATATGCATCAAAAAGGGAATACAGGAAAATCCCAAGGCGGAAAATAATTTTGAAGTTGAAAACCTGATGTTTTGGGTTAATAAAAAAATTCTGTAACTATTTATTTAAAATGGTCTGTCACGAAACCTAATGTGACAAACGAAATTCTACGCGGGCGAAGCCGCGTGTAACAACTAGTTTGTAAACATATAATCGCAATTTCATACTATTGCTAATTATTAGTAGCTTCAGGAAAAATTTTGTTAATACCTTGTCCCTATCGTTTTTGATATTCTGCATCGAACATAGGTAGATAGTGGCTAATCGTTTTGGTGATCCGATGCCTCTAAGAAGCATTTTACAAGTGTTGTTCTTGACGAAGAATTTCAAGAACAGGGTTTTAATGATGAACGAGAACGAGAATGTTTCCTACTCATTCACCAAACTCACCTGTTCATGCAGCTACAGTTTCGTAAGGATGTATCATCTTTTCCCCCAACCGATTTCCTGGAGTTTTTGAAGTCCACTAGATACTTGTTAGGACAACAAGAAGATTGTTCCGAATATTTGGGATTCTTGTTGAATACTCTTCGTGAGCAAAACAAAAGCATAATCAATACTCCTGACCGCTCTGGATTGAATTTTTCCGTACAGTCTATCTCGTCTTGTGTTTGTGAATCTTTTGCTGGAACAATCCTCACTTGTTTACTTTGTAGTAAATGTTCAAGAGGTAGCAAAAACGTTTGTGAATTTCTGGAACTTCAACTAGCGTTTCCTAATATGACTGTATGATGATCGACTGTATTGCCAAACATGCGCCAAACTAACTGACTGTTATAAGAAAACAAGTATATGTGAGGTACCAGTCAATCTAATAATAAAACTAATAACCAAACTCTCACGAAGGTTCGAAATAGATGAACACTTCAATCTAGCAGACCACTATTATAAGATTCATGTAGTCATTGTTCACTGTGGTTCTTGCGTTGAATTTGGTCATAATTATGCGTTGGTCAAAGACGAAAAGGACTGGTTTTCTGGAACTTCAACTAGCGTTTCCCAAAATAACTGATAACCAGCCCGTGCAAAGCTTATTGTCTGAAAATGTAACTTTTGATGGGTGGTGATCAACATGCGCCAAACTAACTGACTATTATAAGAAAACAAGTGTAGTTGAGGCACCAGTCAATATAATAATGACACTGATGATCTTCAAACATGACTCAACCTCTGAAGGATACACCAAACTCTTACGAAAGTTCGAAATAGATAAACACTTTAATCATGCAGACATTGTTCACTGTGGTTCTGGTGTTATGGTTCTGAGAGCATTGACAGTCAAGATCTTCAGATGATGTAGTGCTGCAGGTTTTTCCAGGTTTTCCTGCAGCTGAAAAAGCAAATGCGCCACTGGAATCAATGTAAAAATAATTCGAAACTAATTTAAAATTGCGTTCAACATCGATAATAAGTTCTGTGGTGGCTTGATGTGACTATTGACTATCAATAAGTCTGAAATCAAACAAAAAAACTAATTTTGTTGGTAAAAAGCGTGGGGTGCTAAATATCTGTTGTTATGAATACTTTAAACTGACTGTGTGAAATTTTGAATATTGCCCGAGATGACGATGAAAAATCAAATAATGTGATAAAAAATTGTGAATAGCTGGTATACGATAATCATCGACAAAAACAAACACCGTGATGTTATTATTCGATCTCTGTGAAAGCAAAAAAATCAGAACTTAATTAAACATCGCCGAGTAATCACGAGGCAAGCGGGTGTAACAACACAATCCGTTAGTTAAGACGCCTCGGCTACGCAACAGAGCGAAGGCCATAGTTTCAGAAACCCTTTGCGCCCTCGACGTTGTAATTTTAGTGGCGGACCACTCAAATTTCCCCCACCTGAAACCCTTTTCTGGCGGACCCTTACTGAATAATTACCAAAGAGGACAGCCTGACCTCTAGAGACCAACGAAGGGATAATGTTATGCCGTTCGTATGCTGGAAGTCTTAAACTGCTCCTCCATTTCCAACGCTGCCATCATTCTGAACATTACGAATTAACAATTGCCTTTGTTGTTTCGATGATAATTGTATTACGAAATACTGTAACGACTAATAAATGGCATAACTTGTTGGACAGTGTTTTCTGACGAGCTGAAATTGAATATTTCATTTTTAGATATTTTTATACTTGTAAATGTTTAAAAATGATCGTATCGATGATATCGACGATGATAACAAGACAGAAAGAGAGATAGATTATATACTTTATTGTCTTAAGAGTAATCTTGAGGACAAAGTTTCACTGTATTTTAATACAGTTTATATGTAAAAACAAAGTGCATTAAAATTCATCAATTTTTACTTAATACGTAAAAATCAGTATACCTATATAAAAACATGTGAGTCGTACATGATTATCACTCAAAAAACCTTTCACAGCCTTCCTAAAGCATTGTAAAGGCTTTATTTCTGTTAGATTCTTTAGCAAATGGTTGAACATTTTACAACCATTTTAGACAATGGAATCCTTTAAGACTGATGTCATTGGTATTGGCAACTTGGTGTTGTTGGTTATATAAAAACATGTGAGTCGTACATGATACTGGTAAATCATTATAAAATTATTGTATATTATGGTACGATCAAAAAAACTTTCACAGCCTTCCTAAAGCATTGTACAGGCTTTATTTCTGTTACATTCTTTAGCAAATGGTTAAACATTTTATAACCATTTTAGACAATGGAATCCTTTAAGACTGATGTCATTGGTTTTGGTAACTTGATGTTGTTGGGTTGCCTTGTTACATAATGGGTTGGTGAGGATTGAAATTAGTTCATATAATTTTCAATTAAACCCACTGTTTCCATTATAAAAATAGAAATCACTGTTAGAATTCCATGACTGGTAAATAGTAATCTACAAGAGTCTGTACGTTTTGTATGCACATAAATCTTAGGGCTCGTTTTTGCAAAATTGAAATATTTTATAGTAGATAACCACTACATACGACCCAAAATAGAATTTCATATCTCAGATGAGATTCCACCACAGAAAAATGAAAGTAACGATGAGATTGGAACCTTTGGTGTGAAAGTTGAATAAATTTTTTCGAGATCAATTGCCCTAACACCAAACTGATATTTTTGCACTCGACGCGCGTTTCGCCAACAAAGTTAGCATCCTCAGGAGAAGAAAATACCAATTTTCTCAACTCAAATATAAACTCAGTGCACAAACAGCTGAAAACGAATAGTCCTAATATTCTTGCACTCACAGAAACTAAAGTCAGAAACCCCGTCGATTTTCTATATCCTGGCTATGATTTCCACTCCCGATCAGACGTAACTTTGGAATATATATCTTTATCAGAACCGATCTCTCCTGTCAACAAGAGGAAATGCAGGAATCCCAAGACTATGATATTATGTGGTTCAAAATCAAATCACCATCGATCACTAAATATTTATCAACCACCAAGCGATACACAATATAAGGCAGTGTTTTCTTCACTGGCAAACACCATTGACTTTCTGCAAATTAATCATCCCATTGCCGAAATTTCCATATCCACTGGCTCGAATTTTCTAATATCAATGACGAACAAGGTCGCGAAGCTGAGGATTTTGCAATAAGCAGCGGACTTACTCAGATTATAAATCAGCCAACCAGGATTCCTGACTGTGATGGAGAATATAATAGTCTTCTGGATCTACATCTAACAACCAATCCAGAAATTCACACAGTTACCATAAGATCTCTATTGGGATCTTCTGATAAATTCATTTCAGTGTTGAGTGAATTGCCGATAAATGTTGGGGAACAATCTACAGATACAGATCTGCTGAGTGGAAAGATCTTCAAGATCATTTTCGAAATTTTCAGTTCTAAAAATCTATCTATTTATGCTCCTGAAGTCACGGAAGTTATTTATTCTATCATCCATGGTTGCATTTATTACTTCATCAATGAAAGCAAAGAACTTCACGATCAATGAATTGGGGATAAACTGCTTACAAAAATCAACGGGTTTAGATCCTTCTGGTCGGTATCTAAAGCTGGTTATCAAAACTTTACAAAACCTACAATTTCACCACTAACATGGTTCAATTGTAGCCATAGAAAAAGTAAATCTCCTTGCTGAACAATTTGCGTCCCACTCCACAGTCGATTTTCTGGGAAAGGTACCACCCACTATTCCCACACTAGAATCCACAATCCGCAGCGTCTACTCAGGCGAATTCTGAAACAACTCAATTTCAACAAGACGTCTGGTTCTGATGAAGTGCCCGTCACGTACTTAAAAAGAGTGCAAATAAACTCGCACCATTATTTTAAAGACTTTTCAACCTGTCTTACCGGAAAGGGGTTTTTCCTTCTTGTTGGAAGATTGCTCGCGTTCAGCCTATTCCCAAAAAGGGCAAGGAAAATCTTCCAAATAAATATAAACCAGTCGCTTTGATATCAGTCATATCGAAAATCATGAAGAAAACCGTAAACCACTATATCCTCAAATATTTGGAATGCTTCAATATCTTGAGCGATCATCAATGTGGCTTTCGGAAGTAAAGATAAACAGGCGACCTTCCATCGTATGTTACCCATATTTGAAATAACGCAATCGAGAAATATGGAGAGTTAAGAGCTATTGTGCTTGATATTTCTTAGGCCTTTGATCGTGTGTGGCATGATAGTTGGCTGGACAAGTTTCGATGCTATGGCTTGTGAGATCATTTTTGCGTATGGTTCTTCAGCTTCCTGAAAGAACGTTCCCTGCAAGTGGTTGTCAAAGGATTTCTCTCGAATACTTTCCCCATCAACGGTGGTGTCCCCCAGTGATCTATATTGTCTTCAAAACTCTTCGTATTGATATATCAACGACTCATTGAAGAAAAAACAAGAATCCAATATATTAATTTGCTAACGACAGTTGTTTCGTCATTCCATTTGGATTCCAGGACATTGGCGACGGATGCACATCTTCACCGGCAGCAGGACGTTGCATATCTCAATGAGAATCTAGAAGTAATTTCGAAATGAGGTGAAAGTAACCAAGTTCAATTCAATACCACAAAAATTCAGGCATCGGTTTTCTCCAAAAAGATAAATGTCTCCGAACCGGATATAATAATGTCAGGTCAGACCATTCCACTTTCTGCTTCGATAAGTTTGTTGGGGGTTGAAATGCACACCAAAATGTCTTGGCACAATCATGTCGCTGGAATTGCAAAAACCGCTTCTCAAAAGCTTGGAACACTGTTCCGAACCAGAAAACTGTACACACCTTAGCAACTTTCGATGCCTTATAAAACTCAAATCATACCTTTTTTGGAGTACTGTTCTCATGTATGGAGCTTCGCCCCTAAGCATACTTTGAAGCTGCTGGATTTAATCCAGAAAAGAGCCATCCGCCTGATTGGAGACGTGAACATCACTTACAACCTTAATAGTCTGGATAATCGAAGAAAAGTGGGAGATTTGTCTCTCTTCTATAGATACTTTCACGGAAAGTATTCAAGTGACTTGTCACATTTGATTCCACCAAGAGCGGTCTATCTTGGTATTTGTATTGTTAGGTCTCTAGTTTTTTATTAATAGTACACTCAACAAATTCATTCAATTATCCAAAAGATACAACTAAACAAATCTATACATTCATAAACCTTCATTTCTTTTTTTTTTTTTGATTACTCGCATGCTAAAGCAGTCAATGTTTATACTGAACTATTTGTATTTGAAATTACTATGTTTCATGCTGTCTCTCAAGTGATGATGATATACATATAACCCCAAGACGCCATTATTTATCTCTATATTTGATAAATATCAGTGTTATGAACCTCGCACCAGAAAGAATATTATTACTGATTCATTTATAATTGTTGGTAGTGTCAGAAATAAGTCTGACTCTGTATATTGATTTTTCACATGCTTTGAAGTATATGTTTATTGAACTGTTAGATTTTGATTCATTGTAATTGTGAACGATATTTTTATAAAAATAATATTTCTTCAATAGTGGCAATCTATTTATTCTCGTGTTCTTTGAGAATAGTGCGAATACAACGGTTAGTTGCGTCTGTACGTTATGTATATTTTGGTTGTTTGTAATCCCTGAAATTTCAATTGTGATAATAAAAACATAGTGTTTTGTTCAATAACATATTTTTTAGGAAAGAAACCAGCATGTATTTGAAAGATGGAAGTGACAAAATTTCAGCAACTATTATTCAAGTGCAATAAAAGTGCAATTAAAGCTTATAGTCATAAGTAACTAACCTCTAGGTACGTCCAACCTAACGCTATTTGTGAACTGGAACATACCAAAGAAATACTGGCGCCTGTGAGTTTGATTTACAAAATGACGGCTTTGATCTCAGCGAAACAAGTTAGAATTATGGATTTAGAATTTGGGTCTTCTCCAACGATTTATGTGCTCTTGATTCTTATAGTCGTAGCGACACTTCTTCTTCCAAAATTTTGTTTTTCCACATGATTTGCTCCTAACTTTGTACGTAACTTTGTACGTACTTCGTACGTTAGTTGGAGAAAACACGATGAATTGAATTGATTAGTCTTTCAATATCTGTCGATGCCTGCTTTTGCAGAATGCGTTCCACAACACTTTCATGATCATTTTGGTTTGTTGATATTGGAGAACTCCATCGGAAGTCGGAGGTTTGCGAAGTTCTTACTGCTGTCGGTGAGACTATCCTCCTTGACACTTATATACTTTCTACAATTGTTTCTCATCGTTACTTCTTCCACTATCTGAAACATAAACAAAGCAAAATCAATAGAGAATCTACTGAAGTGTAATAAAGGACGAACTGAAAAGTTCACCCCGAAAAGTTACTTTTTGGTATTTATGAATTTCGCTTACAAATCAAATAACCAATTAAAACATGAACATTGTCATAGGTTGTTAACGATTTAGAAAATACACCGTTTTCGTTCTCAAAACACAATAAATCACCTATAATAGTAAAACTCGAACTTGATACCCTCGACAGAAGAAAAGTAGATCTGCAAGCTTATGCAGATTACCTTGTTATCTTGGCAAGGTCCACGTCTGAAAGGGTATCTTCTAATATCCTCCAAAGCACGATGGACGTTGTTCGCAGTTGAGGGAGCAGATCTGTCAACCCCAGCAAAACTGTGATAATCCCCTTCACCAGTAGAAAACTGGACAATCTAACGCCACTTTTCCTCAATGGTGAGGTCACTCCATTTGGAACGGAGGTGAGAGACAGACTTATCTGGCCATCAGCGGTCATGGAGATCCTTCTAGATCTACCTTCTCTCCACATTTTTCTGGAGAAAGAGGTTACATGGACTGCATATAGACTTGTGCACATTGCCAATTGCATAAATCAATTTAATTCAGAGTGCAACAGACTGTTGGTTGACACTGGGAGTTACAGCATTCTGGAAATGACCTTTGACTTTATGCCTCCAACTGTCAACTACGAACTGCCTTATAAAGTACTGTTCCCGAGTAGAAAGGACTGCTTCCTCCGGGAGAAGGAAATATTAAGAGCAGAGAGTTGTTGGTTCACAGATGGATCAAAAACATCTTCCGGTTCTGTTGCAGGTGTTTTCAGTCGCAGACCCAGGACAGAGATATCAACCTGCCTAGAAACCTATGCGACTGTATTTCAAGCGGAAATTTATGCTATTGAATTGTGTGCGGAGAAATTGGCACAAGTCAACAAAAATATTCTCGGACAGTCAAGCGGCGTTGGAAGCTCTTGGCTCCTACCAAGCAACGTCTAAATTGGTAGCAAATTGCCAAAAATGATTCGTCAATAGGAAGACCTAATAGATTGTCTCTGGTCTGGATTCCTGGCCATACTGGCCTGGAAGGAAATGAGGCTGCTGACTTCCTTGCAAAGGAGGGTGCTGCAAGCAGCTTCATCGGACCAGAACCTGTCATGAATGAACACCTGGATGGCAAAAAGATTTATGGACTTCTGGCAGAATCTTTCATTTATTCACATCATCTGACGGAATCTCCAGTTTTCGAAAATTCTACTTTTGGGAAAAAATCTTGACTGTAGATGACTGTTTGACAACGGAAACAGTAGGTCAGAATTTAAATTTATGGACTTTCCACCCGATGTAATGAAAAGTTACTGAAATAATTCATACAGAGTTAACAATATTTGAAAAGCTTGAAATAGTTCTCAGTTGATTCTTGAGTACCTACCCAATGATAAGTTGTTCATAAATATGTACACAGGTAGTTCCATATTTCTTTTTCACTATTGAATGTGAATTTTGTTCTTTTTATATTTCGTTTCCTTTTTTGCACATTTTACAAACACCACTATGAGGTGTTTTCTAATTAGTGCTGTCTATTCATCAACAATCAAATAGCCACCGCGTTCTAAATTATGTGAGAAAACAATTCTCTTTATTTAAAGTGTTTGTTATGAATAACCTTTTTATCAGTATTCTAAATACAGTTTCATATTATGAATCTCAAAACATATCAAAATCCAAATAAAGTTCAACGTGCCTGCTCTTTCGGCAAATCATTAACGAAGGACCCCAACAAAATTGTGATACTTGATTGTGATATTCAAAACATATTTTCATTTCCTTCCCACAATATTCACTAACCGATATAATCTAGTCCAAGGAAATGAAAATGTGTGAATATACATTTCCTGTGGGCGACATAGTGGAGTTTTGAAATCAAATTTGAATGAATTTTAGGAAATGATGAAAGGCAGGAATATTTCTAACAATTTCCTTTCGAACGTGTCTTGCGCTGAGTATTTTCCACCTTTTCCGAAAGTCCTCAGTAATAACTTCATTATGGGTACTTGTGGGTAAATAAAACAAGAGTTATATTGACCTGTATAGGAAAACGGTGATGAAACTGAAATTATTTTTCAATAAAATCTGTATGTGACTCATTAACTATTGAAGAAATGATTGTTGTAAATAGGTTTTTTGTTTCATTCTACATTCGCCTTTAAATTAGATGAAAGAAGATAAAAAATAGAATATTTTTCTCTTCATGACAATCACTCTGTGTTGTGTCTGTGGTGGAAAGTGTTAATAATGATAAACTATCGATCCAAGATACTTGTTCAATATTATTGGAGTGTTTTCCCAACATCAAATCGTTATTTTTAACACCTCGACACATGTTTCGATCACCAAGTGATCATCTTCAAAAAGAAAGATTAACACTCTTTAAATCAGTTTAATCGTGTTTCGATCACCAAGTGATCATCTTCAAAGAGGAAGATTAAAACTGTTTTAATCAGTTTAATCAGTTGGTGATCGAAACACGTGTCGGGGTGTTAAAAATAACGATTTGGTGTTGGGAAAAAAACTCCAGTAATATTCATTATTACACCAAAGGTTACAAACAGTGCATCATAAATACTACAGATGAGTTAATTGCATTAACTCATCTGTATGAGTTAATGCAATTAACTCATACAGATGAATGTTTTGAGTTCGAACTTTCGAAAGTATCGAAAGGGTTGAAAACCAATTATTTCACAAGGTTTGGATTATTAGTATCCACAATTGTCTTCGGTAATGATTTGATTGCCGAATCTACAACCACGATTAGGCCGTTAGAACTTTTACATCTCACTGATGTAAATGACTTGAATTTTCAATAATTCTGCAAAAAAATCGTATAAATAACCATGCATTATTTTTAAACTCAGGTTAGAGTATATTTTTGGCTTAATTCTTCTTGGCAACTCCGCTCTAGACACGATCAATTTTATTGGTCAACAGACACGCGGTCAATTTAAATTCTTGCTTTTCGAATTATTCTTTTTTCTGCAGATATTAAGAGATTTTGGGACCGATTAGGCTTGAAATGTATAATATACCCTTAACTCGATCAGTCTATAAGCAAACCACTATCATTTTCCATAGTATGAAACAAGCACATTAACATAAAAACCCAAGCAGATAGATATTTTGAACGCCTGCGCGACAAAAGAGTTATGAAAAATTGTTAGTTTTAAAGTAGTTGTAGGAAAAACCCTACGGTTTGTTTGTTTGTTAAGTCCTAGTGTTTCCTTTCGGCCTTTTGTTCACCTCTTCAGACGAACCCTAAGCAATTGTCAGTTGTTAAAGTGAGAATGAATTTTCATTATTATAACAGAACGCATTTGGTTAGTCGTAACAATCGCATGCAGGTACCTATGCAAATTCCGAATTTCTATTCTCATCATGAAACGTTATTGGACTATTAATAATACTGGCATATTATATTCATCGGATCAAGTGACAAGTGGACATGCCATCTGCATTCATTGTGAAAGGTGGACGGTATGAATATTCATTTTGATTCCAAGTTCTGAACGGATGTGTATTATGCACGTACTTTTTATCATTTTAATATACTTATGATTCCAGTCGTCACTTCGATAACCATATACGATGGCTAGGAATTATTGATAACATGTTTTATTGATTGTCTGAATTATAGATCAGCAGTACTTCTTAGGTGGATCCCGAGGGAGGAGCTCTAAGACATCATCTTCACTTATAATGTTGTTCGATTATCCCGACGATAAGAATTGTGGATTTGTAGCGGTTTTGTACCGTTGAAGTAGAAAAAAGTGAGATGGGATCAAAAACACTCTAGGAGAGGCTTGAATCGATGAATTCCTTTCAAGGGAAAAAATTACTATCAGGGTAAACGTTTCAGAGGAATAGATCATATATGGAAAGATTACTAAGATGCAATAGAACAATTCAACGATTAGATAACTTCAGTTCAATACTTTTCTTTCAAGAACAAAACAAGCATTAGTGGAGAATCTTTAAATCGCTCTTAGAACGGTCTCCGTGCGAAAGTAGCGATTCAGGTTGGATTTAAATCGCTGGAATTTGAAAAGAAGTTGTCAGGAAGTTATTTTAACATAATCGCAGTTCTCCAAGTGAGAGGGTTCGTGAACAGTGAAGTTGAACCTCATGAAATGAGCAGCCACAGTCCGTCGCATATTTCTGATACGTACCGCTCTTGGTGGAATTAAATATGCCAAGTCATTCGAACACTTCCCCTGAAAGTATTTATAGAAGATAGACAAATCTTCAATCTTTCTTCCAGAAAACCAAGGTTATAATATTCCCAATACCAATTGGAACAGCACAGAGAAGGAATTCCCGCCTCGACATAGGCGTCGGCATATTATTTTTCAGTGGTAGTTTTTCATACTTATTCTTACAATCAAAGCAATTGGAAAAATAAGCTCAACTAAATTTTTCCACCATGGGTAATTATGAAAAACTTCGGAATTTAAGGTAGTTGATTTCCGAGTCGAAAACTCTGAAATATAATGAAAACATAGATAATCACACCGAATTCTCGTCAAATATACAGTGTGTCCAAGATAAGGATCCAAAGCATGGGAATCTCTGTACCTGTTGGAGATACAGCTTAGGTTAAATTAGGAAAAAGTTGTGTTCTTTAAAGCTTATTTACATGCCGTTCAGAAACTTGAAGAATTTTCATGGCCTGCTGAGATATTTGGGAAAAACGAGAATNACTGTACCAATATCGAATTTCAACACTCAAATCGCGATCAGTTCCTAAACTGAACACGACGGCGATAACCATCCCCGCATTCCCCGATTTTCATTCGTCACCGTGACATAACTTAAAATTTAATTTAATGACTCCTCAGCCAATCATAAAACTCGGTTAGAAAACATTATCCAATACGAATCGCCATCGTCAAAGCGTGGACTAATTTGCTGCCGGTTCATTTCCATGTATTGGTTTT